GCTAAATTTCCCTGTGTTTAAACTGTCCAACAACACTCCTGAGGTTCAGTGCGGTGAAATACCTCAGTCACTTTATTACTGATCAAATGAATGATGATATATACAGACAACATTGTAAGCTCTGTGTGCAGGCAAATTCAGCTTCTCTTCAGTTTCAGTTAAAGCGGATTTTATTGCACACCGTTATATACTGCCCCCTTGTGGTCGTCTGACGAGCAACGTAGAATGCAGAAGCCGCATGTTGCATGTAATGATGCAGTGAGGGGGCAGTGTCAGTCAGGTGTTTGGACTTTTAAAGCACTTTTAAGAAATGTAATGTTTGCTTTTAGAGAAGGACTGGCTCTAGTAACAGTTTGCTTTTAGCACTCACAGATCCGCACACAGCGAGCGCTTCCCGCTCTGGCTAAAGTGTTTGTGTGTTTAGTGCAATGAATTTGCATCTGCTGCAGATGGAGGTGTGAAAATCATCTTTGAGACTGAGCTCGGAGTGGCAGATTTCCTCCTGCCCAACAAAAGCAGTGTCCTCTACGTCTCTGAGTGTGACATCATCGCAGGAAGCGGCTACAAGAGGAAGGTGGTTCGCTACAGGAACGTAAGTTTGATGTGGAAGCTGGAAGCTTCTCAATGATGTTCAGGTTGATATTGGAGGCGCTCCTCGTGTTTGTTTTCAGGCTGGGAGCAGCTTCCAGGAGCTGGTGTTGGTGGAGAAGACCAGACTGAGCGAGCAGTACTTCCCCGCTGTGCAGAAGTTTGTGGCGTTTGACCTCGGCCTGTCTCTGCTGCCCGTCAGCGGGCAGGCCGACGCCTCACAGCTCATCACTCAGATGGTAAGATTTCCAGAAAGTGTTGATTTATAGTCCTTAACTCTGGGTTACGGTACATAAAATCATTTTGCGTTGTTTTTCGCCATGATGTCACATTTTGTAAATGCTTGTCTCTCTGTGTTTGTCATAAAAATATTGCATCAAGTTCATTTTTATAGACAACGGTCTGCTATAAAGAATCATATCAGTGAGAGCTCAGTATTAACACAACATACGGGGATTTATTCACACATGACTTTTTGTTTCACAGAGACATGATGTCACAGGCGCTGTAAACCCTGCATAACAAAAAGGATTCAAACCAATCAGAGCAAAGCTGGCCTTTTTGTTGAATTTGAGGCTTGTTCTCGTTGTCTCCAGGTTCACGGGGAGGCTCGGGAGAACCCCTTCAGGAGGAAGAGCTCGTCCCGCCTGCTGGACCCTCTGGTCCTGGCTCTGGTCCAGCAGATCCCCGGGGTGGGCAAGGTCAAAGCTCTGGTGCTGTTGCGGCACTTCTCCAGCATCCAGCAGCTCTGCAACGCCTCCCCCGCCGAGCTGGAGCCCATCGTGGGCCAGGCTGGCGCCCAGCAGATCCACAGCTTCTTCCACAAACACACTGCCGGGACCTGAACAGCTCAGTTCAGATTACAGTGGCCAAAATCCAGCCTTGAGACTGAAGTTCCTGCAGCATCGACTCACAGTCCTGGTTCCCAGAGCTGAGATGTCTGCATGAGGAGGCTGAAGAAACTCAGTTTTTACTCTGGCTTGCAGTTGCTGGTTAGGTTGAAGCAATAAAAACTGCACGGTTAAAATGAGGTAAAGGTTGGCGTTTGGGGGAGAATAACGCCTTCGCAGCAGGAATCCTGATCCATCAGGTTTAAATTAATGAGTAAATCAGGATTATTTGACACCCCAGGAATGAGAACAGTCACTGGACGATCAGGGCCGGGTCACCGTGACCTGCACAGCAAACAGCACTTTCCACAGTGGTGCCTCAGGTCAGGCACGCTCCTCGTCTTCATCGACATTCACGGTGTTTGCGTCCTGAGATGTGTGAGAGCGAAGGCTTCCTGCAAACTGCCCGACGTGTGTCACTCTAAACCAGGCGCCAGGCTGATGCAAGAATTACTCGCACATCTGTGTCTCTGAGACGACGGTTTACAGCACAGCCTTCAGCGTGAGCAGGAAGTGTTGGAGGCAGCGTTAACCTAACATGTTGCCCGGCGTGTTCCCGTGTGCAGGGAGCACCTG